CTTGCAGGGACTAGGCATCTGTAATGTGGAAGTGAGGAGCAGGAAGGAGGGAGGGAGGAGGGAGGAGGGAGGAGGGAGGAGGGAGGAGGGAGGAGGGAGGAGGGAGGAGGGAGGAGGGAGGAGTGAGGAGTGAGGAGTGAGGAGTGAGGGGGAGGGAGAGGGAGGGAGGAGGGTGAGAAGATCAAGTAAAAGAGGATGAAACATCTTTTCCTCCTGACATTTCTTCCTGACCATCCTCCAGCCTCCCTGCCCTCCGATAATCTCAAACCCTCCTCATAAAATCTCCTGTTCTATGCATGCCCTTCACTACCTGACTCCACCTCTTACTTCGCTTCCCTCTCCTCCCGCCCCCCCTGATCGCACCGTGTCCTCATTACCTCTTCAAGAATCATCGACAGGATACACTTGGCCAGGGCAGCCATCTCGACATAACACTTCTCAGCGCTTCCTCCCTGTTCTTGTTCGCAATCTCCCTCTCCGTCATCTTGCATGCCTCTGTCTCAGCCATGTCCACCAGAGAGACTGGGAGCACCTTCAGCGACAGCGCAGTCACGATCTTCCGAGCTTTCTCCTCGTCAGGACTAGAGACGAATGCATGATATACCTTCCTCAAGTGTCAGTTCGCTCCTTGAAGCCTCAGTTTCTTCTGAGCTTTCCTTCATTCAACCTCCTCCTCATTTTTGCTCTAATCTTTTTCCATTGGAACCCTCTGATCCTCCTCATGCTCCTCTTCCTCGTTTCTTCCTGCTCCTGCTCCTCCCCCTCCCCCACTGCTGCTCCTTATCGCCATCACTCTCGCACTATCTTCATCGCCATTATCACGATCATCATGGTCAGTTCAATGAACATACCGCCCAAATCTGCTCCAGCACGAACTGCACAAACATGGGTTTGAGCTTTCCTCCTTCATCTTTGCGGGAGACAGACTGGAATTGAGTGACATCTTGACCTGACATGACATCTGATGATAACACCTTAGTCTTGGGGTTGAAATAGAAATCGTTGCTGAGATATCGTGAGATTCTGCTGGAAACTCAAAAGGTCATACCCGTCCTCCGGCCAGAGAGCCTTTCGAAGAGATCCGGCGTTCATTCCCAGACTGTGGAAAACATGAGTTTGACAGGCCTTGCCACTTATTCTGCGCTTCATTCTCGTTGTTGCAATGAGTCTCTTTCTTGAGTTTTCATCGTCTTCCTCTAAATCCTGTGCATCTACTTTCACCCTCCTTGTCCTATCAGATTCTCTGCATCTTTTCTACTTCATTCTTCATCTTTCTACTTCTTTCTTCACTTCTTTTGCTCCTCCAACTCACCGTTTCGATATGATGAGTGCAAAGTCTGACACCCTGAATGCCCAATTCGCTGCTGCACATCCAAACTGCACAATTGCATCAAGAACATGTTGACTGGAATGCAGTGAAACATATTGCATGATCACCACTGACAAGCCTACGGTCTTCATGATCAACACCTCCTATTCAAGTCTATCTCTTCCTCTTCCTCTTCCTGCTCCTACTCCCCCCCCCCGGGGTTCATGAACA